TAACCTATGTTTAAATTTTTATTAGGACCAAAATAAATTATAATTTTCACTTCAACTACAAAAACCTTCATAATATTAAAAAGGGGAAAAACGTTAGATTAGTTATGTTCAGGAATAAACTCTTTAAACATTTATCTACTTAAAATGTGTTACTTTTAGAAGGTATGTTATTAACTTTCTATTTGTACTTGTATTAATTTATTTCATTTTATTATCTGTTGTATTTTCAAATTGATTTTGATATTAATCTTATCTATTTATATATTTTTTATACTCACATATATGTTTTTTTCATTAAAACAAACGTTTATTAGCTTATTAAATATAATAAATTCATGTTGTTTTATTATATGCTTGTATGAATGATTACTTTTATTTCCTTTTAAAAATGAATTTCGAAGATAAAGCTGAAACGGTGAGTGAGAATAAAAATTAGACGAAAGTGACGATATTTACTGGAGCTTTCATCTACACGCTCCTTTTTCTAGCCATCTACACCTGAGCCAGCAAGATTCGTCTTCCCTCCGTCCTTACATTCTCCAGAGTTACAGAGAAAACGCCGTCCTCTTTAACATATCCAGACCTTCTTTGATGGGGACTATACCACTACATTATCAGCTTTATTTGTTATCCCGAGCAATTTAAATGCATTCGTAATTGCTCATTCTCACCTCTTCTCTTGTAGATTCCGTACTCAGTTTTCTTATTTTTAGTTACGTTTGCACTGCTCTTTTATTTTCACAGCTTTAATTCTATAATGCTGTAACGCTACAATATGGATCCATTTATGTGGTTTATACTATTTAATGTTATTCGTAAGTGACCAACCTATTATAATAATTAAAGATTATTGTATTACAGGCCTGAAGATGTTCCTGTAAGGCCGAAACTAGTCGCTCCTGTATTTATAATAAAATTGATTTTAAGGTTTTATTCTTCAATTGAAAAAATTAGACCTTTACAGTGATTTTGTTTCTTTTCCTGCATTAGACATATATAAGACGGTATTCATTTTAAAAATAGTAAAATTAGCAAATTTTTTAGTTTTTTTTTTACAATTAATACGTTTGGACAATGTGTGTTTTTATAGATAAATGATACGCCACTGAACAAGAAGGATGTTTACCTTCCTCCTTATGCCCGCTTCCTCACTTCCTCTACAGATGTTGCTAACACAACAATCGCCTACAAACTCGTTTTCACGCTCCCTCTATTAGTAATTGCTCGGAGGTGCGGAGCATATTAATGCATATGTCGTTCTTGTCGTTGCCTCTGTTGTCTCCTGTCTCCTGTCGCGCCCACCGAAATAGTACCTTAAAGCATCTGATTACTACCTTAACTACTCCATAAACGGTTATGAACTTTCTGGTTTTACTGATTCAAGATGCGAAATAGTAGCTATAAGAGAACGAACGCGATGCTCTAAATACTGGATCGATGTCCAATTGAAAGTCGATTTATTAAATTCTTATAAAGGCCCGTGCTAGTTGGAAGATCAATCCTAAATAAACCGAAAGTTACAATGGCGATGAAAAACGGCATCGCACGATTACCTACGTCTGAACTGATAGACCTACCTCAATTAGACGACCTACCGACAAAGCTTACACTAAAGTCGAAACACAAAACTATTTTTTCGACAAATCACGTTGGTTACATAGAGTGTACGATGGACAAGAAGTATAATGGTGATTTGTATTATTTATGCCAGCCAAACTGGAAACATGTTACCCTGAACTGGGTTGTTTCCACGAAAGAGACTAGAGTTCCAATTCTAAACATCTCCGACCAGCCGATTAAATACGACGCCGATGATACCGTTGTACGAGGGGTACCATGCATTTCAGATGAAGGCCTAAATACACAAGTTAGTGTAAACAAAGTTAGAGCAGTTGACTTACAAACATTTACTATTTCGGATATTATGTTTTAAATATCTAGCAACATATCGGTTTCAGACGTTAATAAACTGTTGTTATTGTTAAACAAATATCGTAACTGTTTTGCTTAAAATATTTGCGATCTAGGTGAAATCGACGGAACTAAAATACGACTAACTGACCTCAAGCCTGTGACATATATACCCTATCGTTTATCATTTAGCCAGAGGGAAAAGGTTCAAGCAATTATATACAGTCTCTCAGCAGCGGGCATTATCCAGGATTCGAATTCACCTTGGGCTAGCCCGATTATTCTAGAAAAATGGTGAAACCAGGCTATGCATAGACTATCGTGCACTCACCACCAAGACAAGCAAGAATAGTTACCCGATGCCAAGAGCAGACGATCGTTGGGAGGTTCTGAAGGGCTGTAAATATTTCACTTCGTTGGATATGGCAAGTGGGTATTACCAAATATCCATCGCAGAGGTATATCGGCCCGAATGGCCAATATGAATACCGGCTGTCTTTCAGAGGACGATAAACCAAATACTGGAAAACATGCGTTTCGGCACAGCACTAGCATATATAGATAGACTCTTCCCAAATATAAACAGGGCTCTTATTGCACTTGCAAATGTTCTAGAAGCCTTTAGAACATCTGGCGTTAATTTAAGACTTTACAGACTTTAAGACCACCTAGGATATTTTATTAAAAGCACCAAAGGCATGACCTGATAGTAGTCATCGATGCGTTCACCAAGTTTGCTTTGGTAAAACCTGTAAGAAGTGCTCAAGCAAGACCTGTTATCAACTTCCTCGAGCATATGTTGGTACTTTCGGCGTAGTAAGAAAGATAATTTCCGACAGAGGCTCTGCCTTTACAAGTAATCCCTTCAGACATTTTGCAAAGGAGTTGAGTATAAAGCCATCCCACGAACTAACGGCCAGGTGAAACGACTAAACAGAGATCTGTTGAGTGCTATATCAACTAGTTACGACGATAAAACCAAGTGGGATTAAAGAATAGATGCGATTTTCTTCAGCACAAATACGTTCATTACCAGCACTACAGAAAGAAGCCCTTATCAGCTGTTGGTCGGATATCAACCGAAAAGAGAAAAGCGATTCAATAATCACGTATGTCATAGGGGAAAAGAATATCCTCGATGATATTGTAAAAACTGGAAATAAAACTAGTCAAAGGATTAAAGAGGCACAGATTAAGCAAAAGGCTTATTTATTGCAAAAAGAAAGAAGAGTCAAGGTTATGGCATAGGAGTCCTAGTTATGTTGCGTAGAACTAAGGCTACCAACGACGGAAATAGTAAAACGTTATATCCAAGTATTCAGGACCTTATGTAGCCAAGGACGTTCCTGGCCATGATAGACATGTAGTTGTAGATCTACCAGGTTCTAAACGTACACGAAAAGTGTATCAAGGTGTTTGGTCAGCTGACAAAATGAAGCGCTTTAAAACTGCGTATGAGAGCAGTGATAATTCAGATATAGAACCAGACGTTGCCGATGTGAGCAACAAGGTTTCTTAATAATTTTGTATACTTACCGTAAAGTTGGTAAGGCTAGGATGGCATCGAAGTTTTGGGCGTCTGGCCAGCGTTCTAATTACAACTTGATTATTTTAATAATCTAGGTCTACTAATACAAGAAAATGTTACTGTATTTTTCCAAGTCTTAAATTTGACTCCTGCAGTTTCCAGGACGGAAAATGAGGGTAGCATGGCCGTCTGTAACGAACTTTGGAACATGCCTGTATTACTTTAATTTTGATGATATGATAATTCACATTATTTAACGTGTAGTCTAGAGTAAGGAATGGCTGATTCATGGAGGGTTGCGTTGTTGTCTATAGCATGGCTTTGTTGCGTTTGATATAAAATATTAGTCTGTAAATCACCTAAAAATTGTTTAAAGATGTCATAATATTCTAAATCAGAATTCTACAAAATTTCAACAGCTATTCACATTTTAATTAAACAATTTACGTACAAATGGTATAGGCATCTATGCTATAATTTTCTACGCCACTGTTTCGCGTTCACTTCAGTTAGCTTCGCGACAAAACTCTCAAATCCTCTATATGAAGTGGAAGAACTGTGAAAAGCCTCTCCAACTTCTGTCCCTGCCTGAATGAAAATGGATAATTAGGAATATGGGAAAAAATTAGATACATAAGATAATTGCCATTTTAGCTGGTACTTCTTGCTTTCTTCTAGTTTTTAATGTATGCTCCAGTCTCTTTGCTATTCTAGTGTTTTAATTTGAAAATAAAAACTCTCCTTTGCAGTCAAACATTTTCCGAAAGCTTAGATTTTTTTAATACTAAAAATAATTGCTGATAATTCCCCAATTATTAAAGATTTGCAGCTATTAAACTAATCAGCAACGACTACCTCTCATGTATTTATAAATTGATATGGTATTTATTACCCTCAATTATGGAATTTATAATATCCCTACTTGTATTGCGTTTAAATACCTAAATAAGTTAACGAAATTGAATCTCAAATTAAAATATACCAAAATGTAAAAACAATAAACTCTTTGCTGTCTTGTAACTTGTCTTCTCCTTCTTCTGCTACTGCACCTTTCTACTCCTTTCCACAAACATTTATTTTCTTATCTTATTCTATTTTTATCTCCATCTTATTTTAGATATTTTTAAATTATACTTTTCCTTCTTTTTTTAAACTTTATTATATTTAACTTCAAACTTTTTTATGTGCTTTTATTATCTTTTTACTCTTCACCCGCTGACAATTCAAAATTATCCCGACAATCCAAATCTAAACTGACATCTCCCTTTAACGACTCTGAATTTATAATTTTTAATTACCCTTTTCCACATACTTTGATTACCCCTTTTCAATAATTTAACTAGACTAGTATCGATAAATGTGTCAATTTGACAAATTAAAAATGAAAAACATGACATAAATTTTGTTCCGCTGGAAATATGCATAGATATAAACATTCTAATCAAATTTTTCAATACAAACAATAATTATTTTCTACATATTAATAAAGCAACAATCATACAAAAATTTATTAAAAAAATAACACTTGAGTAATAAACATTAAATTTCTTCTAATTTTAGTTCTTCTATCTTCTTCTGGCATTTCCTTTATTTCACTTTATTTTAGAAAGAGTGTATTCTGAAAAGCAAGCCTTTAATTTTCATATTTTTTTTTAACATTTGCCACAACGAAAATTTTAGAGTCAATGACATGTAGGAACTGTTAAAAATAATAAATTTACAGAGGAAGTCACTATAAAACCGTTTTCCATTTGTGCCCCTATTTATGCCGCAGACTTTATTATTATATTCTATATGCCAGCTGCCATCTCTGTCACTAGTACCTCTTCAACATTTCTTGAATTTCCATAATACTCTTTCCTCTGGTCTCCGGCATGACGTAATAAAACGCAACTGCTCCTGCGAAACAAGTACCACTAAATATCCAAAAACAAGCATAAGTCCCTATTGCTTCTGCTAAAAGAGGATAGACTAATAAATAGAAAGCATAAAGAGTATTTGAGTAAGCTGTGATGAATGAATGAGCCGTTGACCTCTGATGAGGAAGGAACATCTCGCTTGGAACACATTGAGGAATGGGTCCAAGACCTAGAGAATATGAAATTATATACAAAAAAACTGATGCGATAGGTAACCATTGAAGTTTTGCAATGATTACCGAATCAATATATTTTAAATAGAAATATAATCCTATCAGTAATGTTGATAAACCCGATCCTACAGAAGATAACACCAACATTGGCTTTCTTCCAGTTCTTTCAATAATATAAGAGGTAATAATAAAAGTTAGACATTTAACCACACCAACTATAACAGCTATCATATTTCCAGATAGTAAAGTACTGGCACCGTTAAAAATCGGAGCTAATAGCGACATCATTACTGGCACCCCGCACAAATACTGTCCAGATACTGGCATCATTGATATTAATAATCCAATTCTACTTTCCCTGATTTTGACCAGTGTCGTTAAATCAGTTTTTTGATCTATGGTATCTCTTAAACTTAATTTGATTTTATTAAAATCGATCTCTAATTCAGTCTTTAACTTGTTACCTCTCAGTTTCATCAGCGCTTTCATGCAGTCTTCCTCTTTACCTTTACTTAGTAAGTAAACAGGACTTTCAGGAGCAAACAAAAACAATCCAAAGAAAGGCACTAATGGAACTGCAGTAATCAGTGTAAAATCTCTGAGGCTGAACGGCGGTCCGAATACGTAGCAGTAGAGCTGGCCTAGAGGTATGCAAGCTGACATTAGACAGCCAAATTTGGTCCTGTTGTGGTCCTCGCAGATTTCCGTTAGATAAATAGGAAGGATTCCCCAAACTCCCGCAAATAAGTTGAATAACAAGGAACAAGATATGATTAATAAATAGATTTCTGAACTAAAAGCTATACCAACTATGCTAGCAAACATGCCAATCGCTATTATTTGTAAACTGGTTTTTCTTCCTATAATATCTGCCAGTCTTGGTAGAATGTAAGATCCTATGAGCGATGATAGAACTGGCATACCTGCCAATAATGATATTTCTACTGTCGTTATGGGTCTGCCTAATGGGTTCACGTCTGGATTCTCTGATTTGAGTTTGATGACTGCGGGGGAAGCCCAACCAAATGTGGTACAGCCCACTAACATCAGCAATGTTACTGAAATGAAACAAAAAAAAAATAAAAAAATAATAACTAATATAATAATAAAATAAACTCTAAATATACATATAAGTTACAGATGGATAACCTTTAATGATTTTCTAATGGAGTCGGGCGATATTTCTGGAACTGTTATATTATAATATCGGTTGATGACATGGCTTACATTGTTCCTTCATCGATTTTATAAATGTTTTTAAGAAACATTAACAATTATTTAATTCATTAATAATTTTAATTTTACTAATTACAATAACGTTCCGCCAGTGTGTTAAGGAAATCGCTATACCGCCCAATTCTACTTTTTCTCTGAATGACGTTGACTATAATATCTATATTTGATTTTGATTTTGATTTTTAATCTAGTTTAATCTAACAAAAGTTTCCTAAATAGAATAGAATAGAATAATTTATTAACCTTCATTACATAAAAAAATACACAAGGCAAGTCGTAGAATAAGTATATAAATGTAAAATTTAACAATAATAATAATAATAATAATTTATTTTTATTTTTTATTTTTGCAGACTTGTATCACACAGTTTTATTGATAAATTCCGTAATAGAGTAAAAAGAGATTTTTTGTAGGTATATTTTAACATTTTTTTTTTTAAGATTCGTATGTTGCTTGTGATTTTAGTTCTTCAGGCAAAGCATTATAGATAGTAATACCGTTATATAAAGGAGACCTTCTGAAAGTCGTTGTCTGGTAGCTAGGGAGCAGAGCTGAGGTAATCACTACAAATAGTACTTGAAATAAATAATCGGTATTTTTTTTACTTTAAGTATTTTACTTAAAGTATTTATGAACTAACGATACTTTTGGAAATGTACTTATTACATTTGAAAAAAAAAGTACTTGTACTTGTACTTAAATTAACGCTTTTGTGGTAAGTATTACTTATTACTTGAAAAATGTACTGGAAAATCAGAATCTACTTAGTTTTTTCCTGAAAATACTTAAGTAATTTTTAACAGTAAGTACTTAAATGGAAAATACTTAAAGTACTTTTGAAACTATTTTAAGTACATATTTACTTTAAGTATTTTATTAAAAATACTGCAACGCCAAATAATTACCTGGACAGTATACAGTAAACACGCTCAAACAAATCAAATCTTTGCGACACACGACGTCTAACGTGTGCCCGTTGTATAAAGATAATATAGTAGGATAATGCAACAGTAAAAAGTGTTGGATGCAATCTCGAGCGGCATCTAGTGACGATTTAATGAAGTAGTCAATTTTTAATGCTATGCAGATACGCCATCTACGTCTTCTTTTCGTTCAGGCACATGGCCTCTATCACCTACCTATTATAGTTAAAAACATATTTATTTGTTTAAAAATAACAATTTATGATAAAAGACATGAAAAATTAAACATAATAATGAAATTTATTCCAGTTGACAAAATAAAATTTTTGGATTAAGGTGATAAAAAGGACTTTGGTCAATATTTTGGTTATGTGCGGTTATGTCAAATTATATAAACAATAACAAAGAATACCTAATAACAACTTATAACAATGTCCAATGTTTTAAATAAATTTAAAAGTTCCAAGTAGAAAACAAAAAAAGAATAAGCTTCTGAAAATGTTGCATGTAATCTAAGTACCTCTAATTGGACTAAGTGTTGGAAAAGTTTATAACCATAAAAATAGCTGAATATTTTTATAGTTTTCAAAATTTGAACAAGCTTCGCTACAAAATTTCATCAAAGCTATCAACAGTTTGCAAGATATTGAGTTAAGGAACAAGAAAATCACACTAATCAGGGAAAAATCAATCAACACTGGAAAACAAATTTAAAAAAAATAGTCACAGGGATATATTAGCGACTTTCAAATGTATCTTGGCTGTTGATCATGAATATAAGAAAAAAATGTTCTCTCGGCTGGCTCTGAGTGTTGAAATAAATCACCTTGAAAGGAAGTTTTCAATAGCTCCACTCTTTAGGAATAGCTCAAGACGAAATCAATAGACCTACAAGTGGTCTATCTGTGGCAGACATATTCAGTTAGTCTTTATATTTCATTATGCAATGTTACAAGGTTCAGCAACTTGCCAAAATGGTTAAAATTTATTTCCAAAATCAGTGCTCTTATTTAGTACAGAATTCTATGAACGACACAATAATTATAAAGTCCTAACTTTGAACATAAAAGAAAATCTTATAAAAAAACATTTTTTTTATATAATTTATCACTGTTTGGAAAAGTATATTTGTTTGTAAAATATTTGTATTTACAGTTATATTTAATCCAGGTTAAGTGTCAGTGCGCGAGTATAATGTTAAGTATGAACAAAATCCGCCCATTCTGTTTATATGTTTGGTTACCGACCCTAGTAGATAGGCTATTTGTTATTACTTTTAATTTAGATTTTGGATTAACGTTTTTGTATATGACTTGGCTGTTTAGTAATAAATGAAGTCAAAACTGTAACACGTGGTTTTATTCTGGAAAGTATTTTTAAATTGAATCACGCACGCCGTTCGAGTGAAAATGTTTTAACTAGTTCAAAACAACAATCACTCTTTTTCATTGTTTATAGAATACAGCCTTTCAGTTAGCTCAGACAAAACTGATTAAATAAATATTATTTTTTGAATTTTTTTTATTTTGACTGGTTGACTATCTCAAAAATTAAAGCCAATCAAGCAAAACGTGAGTCACATTTCGCTTTTTTAGAAGAACAATAATGCAAGTGAAAATTAATGATTCCACAGAAATAGCAAATTAAAGAAAATGTAATATAAAACTTACAACTAAGACGTTAAAGAAAAGTTTGGAAATAATCGATGGGGACTTCGAGATAGCAAATTTATTTTAGTTTTACACAGAACTACTTTATTTTATTCGTTTTGAAACAATTGAAGATTTATAGGCCGGAAAAGCGATTTTAAACTGAATATTCAGTCCAATAGGCTCTCGACTGAAATCCTTTCCATTTTTAGAATATTATCTTTCAAATTTAACAATTTTATGTTTTGTTCCAACACGGATTTTAATAATAGATTTATAAATTGTTTTTGTTTATTTGAATGTTAAAAGTTCTTAAAACTAACTTTAACATATATTTCCCATGCTGGCGCTTAGTGTTAAAATAATGAGACGATTAAACGAAAAAGGCTTACGAGAGCCAGTTGCCCTCTTTTGGTACACATTTGTACAAGGCAACTTTACAAATGTTTCCTCCTTTTTTCTCTTGTAGAAGATGGACACGCAGTGGAGCGCACAATGATAGTATTTTAAAAAGCCACGTCACATATTTGATTAGATAATTAACTTGATATAAGTGCCTTCAAGACTTAAGTCGTTAAGCATTTAAGTTTGGATTTCCCAACCCAGATTCAATTACATATAAAAACATTCTTTCTTATTTTGGAAAAAATATGAAAAATATAATTAATGCAATCTTTCTGCTAAATTTTGTAGTATTTTGATAACAGTTCAGAAAAAAATAGTAGTAGTTAGTAACTGATCTTTACGAAACCCAAAGTTGAGCACTTAACGTCCTGAGCAATGAAAGTTTATGTCATTGTTAATTATCTAATCAAATATGTAACATTCGCATTTTCTATAATTTATTTTTTAAGACGCCTTCGTTGAGAGCTTCATCATTGTAGGACATGCAGCAGACATGCAGCAAAGTATTTCCATATACAAAAAAAAAAACAATAAAAAAATTTTAATTTTGCCTTTCGAAAATAATACTCCTAAATGTGCCTACCACAAATTGGTACTCGATTTATTATATCGATCATTTTCGCATTTTATGTGACCTTCAAATACCCTGTATTCTGTGCTTTTGTAATAATTTGAAATAGTAAATTGTAACTATAAAAATACATTACCGAAGAAATGAAAAAGAAGATTTTAAATTATAATTCATACTCAAGCGCAGACATGACCTAAAGACCTGACTTGGACATAAGTACAGTATCGCCATCTACATTCTATGTCCATCGTCCTCCAATGATAAGTCCATAAGGTTACCCTACTATATTTCTTCATACAACGGTGTGCCGATGCCGGACTTGTAGTTCACCGATTCCGGGTGTTATGTGTTACGTTTATGAGTTTGACTTTATTATGTTACCGATTCCGACGAATAAAAATTAGCTGAACTTCAATGAACCTCGTTATGCGCCACTATGCATTGAATAAGTATATACTTTTTAAAAACTAAACATTTTAAATTACCAAGACTGTGAAATAATAAAACAATAATATTTTTCCATTTTTTTTAAGAAAAAAAAAACAAACAAAAAAAAATCTAAAAGTTTCGGGGCTCGAACCACCAACTTTGCTTTCCACTCTTTCCAAATTTTGACCACTGTACGCTCTGCGCCACCGAGCACATCTTGATGCAAGTTTGTAATCGTTTATACTAATATATAACATTTGATTACAAATATTTACGAATTATTACTTTTTAATTAAACAAAAATAAATTGGAAACAAAATTTTATCATGTCAAATGATACCTACATTGTAATTTAATGGAATCACTCCCTGCTAGGGAGTCTTAAATTGTCATTCCTCGTGTGATGAGAATGACTTTGAGAATGTTTAATAAATTCAGAGAGGTACTTCCTTGTAAACGTAGTACATTTGAAAATATGTATGTATACACGGAAATGTTAAAATTGATTTCGTTTTAAAAATGTTTTTGCAAGTTTCGATATTTTTTAGATTAAATATTGAACGAAGTATTCTTTTTTGGGATACAAACACCCTATTACTTTCTGTGGCTTTTCCCCATGACAAAATATTATAAGATAAATGAGAATAAGCGAATGCATAACAAAGATCAAGCAAGCCTTTTTCATCCAAATAGTCTATCATCTGAATTATTGCATATTAAGTTTTATTCAGTTGTCCACATACATAGTCTATGTGATGTTCAAAGCTCATGTTTGAGTCCAACCATGTACCCAATAGCTTGGCATGCGTTTCAAATTTAAACGGAAGTTCTTTACTTATTGACTCTGGTAAATTTTCTTTATATGGAAGTTTAAACATACTGTTTTGTCTTTATTAAGAATTAAAGAGTTTTTATGGCACCATTGTTTCATTTGACTGAATACAGACAAGGCATTCTCTTGAAGCTCCTCCGGAGTCCTGCCTGTCACCGTTATTGTAGTATCATCTGCAAACATTATGGTCTTACCTCCATGTATATGTATGGGCAAGTCATTTACAAAAAGCAAGAATATTGACGGTCCCAAAACAGAACCCTGAGGAACCCCGAGAGATGTAGCGTACATTTTTGAAATTTCAAAGTTTATTTTAACTAACAATTTACGGTTTCCTAAGTAGGACTCTATCCAGTCTAGCAGTTTCCCACGAATTCCCAATTTAGTTAGCTTATTTAAAATGAATTCTTTCTTTAGGGTATCAAATGCCTTTGACAGATCGAACATAATTCAAATGACATATTTACCTTTGTCCAATTCATTATATACATGAGTTAATAATTCATTAGTTGCAGTTTCGATATATTTATTTTTTCTAAACCCATGTTGGCTAATTGTGAGTATTTTATACTTATCATTAAAATCAGTTATAATATTATACAGTGAGCATCTTAAGTCTTACCCCCCCTAACTAACTCGTTACTGGGGTCTTGTTAGGAAAATGGCCGAGACAGGTTGATTTTTAATTTCTACAATGTACATTTTTGCATGATTAGTTAACCCTTAATTTCATCCCTTACTGGAGGGTAAAAACCCTTTCGAAAAATTTAAATAGCATGGGGTGGTGAGTGATAGCTCAGTTGAAAGGGGGTTTTATTCTCTATTCAACCGTGCAAAAAAATTTTGAAATTTGCATCATTACATGTTGATTTATTAATGTTTAAAAATAACAAAACCTCACAAAATAGGAAAGCAACTAGACTAACAGTGACCGTCTAATGGCAAAAAGTCTTACTTCACGTCTGAACCAAAACCGAAGTCATGCAGGGCCGAATTTTAATTCTAAGGATGAGTGCGGTACGTTAATTTCCGTTATTCTGAAACAACAATTAGTCGAGAATTAATGAAGCAAATTTCAAATTTTTTTACACGGTTGAATAGAGAATAAAACCCTCTTTCAAATGAGCTATCACTCACCACCCCATGCCATTTAAATTTTTCAAAAGGGTTGCTCCCTTCCAGTAAGGGATGAAATTATGGGTAAACTATTCATACAAAAATGTACATTGTAGAAATCAAAAATCGACTTGTCTCGGCGATTTTCCTAACAAGACTCCAGTAACGAGTTAGATATGGGGGGGTAAGACTTATGGTGCTCACTGTATACACATCTCTCAAGTATTTTTGATAATTCTGATAATGAAATTTGTCGATAGTTAACTATATTTGATGTCTCTCCTTTTTTATGGAGAGGAATTACAACTGCCAGTTTAAATGCCTCTGGAAAAATTCCTTTTTGTAACGATACGTTTATTAAATAGGTAAGTGGTTGCAGAATTATAATTTTAATTGATTTCAGTATTTTGGGCGATAATTCATCGATTCCAGCACAATTTTTCTTTTTAATTTTATCAAACGCTATTTTTATGTCTTCCATAGGAATGTAATTAACAAAAATAGAGTTTACAATATGTTGACCTACTGTACAACTCTGTGATATATTGTTTTGAAAATGATCACTAACCATATTGGTACATATGCCAGAAAAGTGAGAAGCAAATAAGTTACTTATGTCTTTTGTGTCTGTGATCTGTATGTTATTATAGTGCAAGGAGATACTAGTGGTACGTTTAGGTTTTCTGTTTAGATTTTTATTTATAATTTTCCACGTCTCTTTTATTTTAATGTCGGCTCTGCTCACTCGATCATTTAAAAAGTGTCTTTTAGATTTTTTACTTCTGATTTAAAGTGTTTTTTCAGGTTTGCAAATTCAATTTTTAGTTGTGCACAATTTGATAATCGAGTAAGTTGATGCATATCTATTAGTTCATTGTGTAAGTGAGCTATGTCCCTAGTGTACCAATTATTTGCACATGCCCTTTGAGTTAAGTTTTTTAAACTCTTTAAAGGACAGCTTGCATCTAGAGCCCATTGAAGGTTTTTTGTAAAGAAATTCCATGCCTCATTCACATCTTGTAGCAAATATAGGGTATCCCACTTGAAATTTGCTAAATATGATGATAAATTATTTAGATTACTAAATCTAAAACCCCTGATTTTTATATTCGGAATTACTCGCTTGTCATTACATCTTGATTCTAGTTTTACTGAGAGGATATGTCCCTTGTGATCCCCTAAGTATGGATCAATTACACAACAGTCGTAGGTTGCGAGAGGAAAATTAGTATTCATATAATCAATTGTGCTAGTAGAAGTAACTCCCTTAATATTTGTAAATATATGAGTTGGTTCAAAGCATGTTATATTTAACTGAAATGAGTATATAATATCCATAAGCAACTTTATATTACTATTATTTTGCTTGTCATAATGAATGTTGAAATCACCGGTTAAAACTATGTTTTTATACTTACTAATTGCATAGGTTAAAGTAGACGTTAATCTCTGTTTAAATATGTCAATGTCACCTGTACCTGGTCTGTAAATACATATGACTGCTACATCTCTTTGATCTATTATAAACTTACAGCTAGAAACTTCATAGTGGCATTCTATAGCAAATTGATTTATGGGTGTAATCTCCTCTACTACAGTAATATCGGTTTTTACCATTATGAATGAACCTCCATGAATATGCTGTTTTCTAGAGAAGTGTGAAACAAGTCTGTAATTTGGAATTGTAATACATTCAAGATCGTGGTTCTTAAACCAATGTTCAGTTACACAAACTACATCAAATTTGTGGTGGTTAATAAAAATATTTAAATTATCCAGTTTATTAGATAATCCTTGACTATTAACATGAAATAAAGTTGAACTTGGCTTTAAATTATGAGATTTTTTATTACTATTTTTGAAAGGAAGGTGATTATTTAGGGATTCGAAAAAACCGAATTATTTGAAGCAAATGATGTGTTTTTAATACCTGTATTTTTGTAGCGAGGATTATCTAAAAAATGTTGACCTTTTTTGAAGTTAAACCTTTCAAAAGCTACTCCTACTGGCCAAAACGACTGATCATAAACAACACTTTTTAACGAGTGGTCAATACCAACCAAAAAACACTTGTTATCATTTTTTTGATAATAGGTTTTGAGAGGTTTAACATCTATTTGGTTAGTATTAGACTTTTAAGCGATGTAACTTTTCACTTTATCTTCAGACACATGATCTTTTACGCAGGATATAAAAATCCATAACTTCTTTGTGCTTGATGCGCCCTCGAATGCATTGTCTGTATTTTCTTCTTGACTTATATGGGTTCCAAGAATTTTTTCACGTTTTTCCTTACGTTTATTTTCCACTTCTATAAATGGTTCGTTATCTAACTCTAACGATTTATGCGAGTGGTCTCTTCGACGATCATTATGACTTTTTTTTCTATAGCTTCGAATCGGTGGCTTTAAAGGTGGATTTTTACTACTTAGTTGAGATATAGTGTAGAATGTTGGCTTATGATGAGTAAGTAGATTATCTTTATGAGATGAATTTGTCGCATTTCTTTGCGATGCCGGTGGTTTATGCGAGGGTGATGCTGAATTGCTCTTTTGTGTGCGGATGCTAACATGTTGGAGGGTATCATTTGAACTATTTTAGCAAATAATGGTTTTCTACTTGAGAGACTCACACTGGCGGGAGCATTGGTCATTAGTATTATCATATCTATATTTGACTCTTTGAGATTAATTATTTCATGTTTTAGTTGTTTTATTTCGATTTTAAATTCTTCTTTTAGTTTTAGTATTTCGGCTTTTAGAATATCCGTAGTTTCATCTTTTTTGAGCAATTTACTATTTTTAGAAAAAAGAGAGAAATCATTTTTAATTGATAAAATTTCATCTCTTAGGGATTTCAGTTCAGCTTCAATTTTACTTTTTATATAAGTTTCTGGTTGTATGAAATCAAAAGAAGATCTGCAATTTGGACACAGAAATAATAAGGTTCTGGAAGATTTAAGTATTGCTGCTCTGTATTCAGTAGTAGAGAGCCTAGCACAAGTTTGACAGTATTTACCAGTGCATTTATCACAATTGGTTAATGGTTCTTCTTTGGATTCAGTGACCTTACATTTACTGCAGGACATTGTAAATAAAATGTTTTAAAATACCTGACGTTGGCTCACTAGACATTAAATTCCATTAATGGTCTTGTTTTTATTATCTCGATAGAAAAAATGATAAAAAAGTTTATTGATTAAAATCACAATCGTTAAAGATGCACTTCATGCAAATATATTGCAGTCTTTGGTGAAAATTACACGTCCATCGTATAGCAGATATTTTTAGCTATCGGTTAATATAAAATTTACTATTTATTTTTTCCTCTAGAAAAAGCTAATTTAATAGGTGTTAATAAATGGTCACGACACGATTCATATCGCTGAACTATGCAAACGTTTTCTTATCAACTATGTATTTTAAAACATTTTGCGATGTCTGATGTTTTATTCTAACAGAGAAGCAGACTCTACTTTCTTTACGGCCACCTAAACCCTAGGAGTTGAATATAGAAAAATGAAACAGCAGTATTTCAACAATTTTCCACATTCAGAGTAGTGATTTCATGTAAAAGAACGCTGACTTTTGGTATATTTTGCCCATTTCATGCAATTGACGTAACATATTCTATCTTTGCTATGTTTGTTAGTCATAAAATAGAGAATTTATGAGTAATTTCTTAAATTCACTAGTTTCACGTTAATAAATATTACAAAAATAAACCGTAGTTCTCCATTGTTTTTAGGGCCTAGTTCTATTTTTAGTTTCTCAAAACTGTAACATCTTACTTTATATTATATTGACTATATTTTGTTAATGTTTTTCAGTAGAACCAAGCATTGTTTTTGGACTCTCACCTGAACACATTACGGACCCTCATTCTTTTTACCCAAAAAATTTGTAATCAACAGTAATAGTTAGTTATGTGTTTTACAACAAACCATTTAAAAAAAATCATTGATATTTTATTTTGCACTTTACTATGAGACTTGTAAGTTTACATTTATGTTTTCTCAAAATAAAGCCTCTTAAATTCATCATTTTCATCATTTTTCAGTAGAACCAAGCATTGTTTTTGGACTCTCACCTGAACACATTACGGACCCTCATTCTTTTTACCCAAAAAATTTGTAATCTACAGTAATAGTTAGTTATGTGTTTTACAACAAACCATTAAAAAAAAATCATTGATATTTTATTTTGCACTTTACTATGAGACTTGTAAGTTTACATTTATGTTTTCTCAAAATAAAGCCTCTTAAATTCATCATTTTCATCATTTTTCAGTAGAACCAAGCATTGTTTTTGGACTCTCACCTGAACACATTACGGACCCTCATTCTTTTTACCCAAAAAATTTGTAATCTACAGTAATAGTTAGTTATGTGTTTTACAACAAACCATTTAAAAAAAATCATTGATATTTTATTTTGCACTTTACTATGAGACTTGTAAGTTTACATTTATGTTTTCTCAAAATAAAGCCTCTTAAATTCATCATTTTCCCTTAAACTATTCAAATACAAAAAGTATAAAAAATGTTTTTGATATAAAAAGTGATACACACTTACCTGTACCAACTGTAAAATACAAAAATACCGTATCAGGCTTCTTTTTTATTGGGTCATCCTTAATATTTTTATTTTCATTTGTTGTTAATGTACCCTCAGGTCTAAATATGTCTGGATGGTGAACCATTTTCAAAAGTATTGCTAAAAAATTAAAGCAAATTAAAATAAATAAATGAAAAAAAATTTGAAAATTTCTTATATTAACTAATAAAATGACATGGAAAAATTTGTAATAAAAAAATAATATACCATAATATACCATACATATCGCACCTTTAATCATTAAGTGGCATGAATCAAAATTTTGAGATTTTGAGTTTTGGTAATAAAACAATCCAAAATAGTACTATCTATTGAGGTAACTCCGACCTACGTTGAAATAGTCAGCCAGGAAGTGCAAATTTATATTTGCGCCAGTTTAGTTCTATCGGATTTTGTAAGGTGTTTTAGACCTAAAGCGACATAATGTTAGTTGTGTGCCAATAGTGACAGGGTTTGAAATAGCATTCTTTGCAAATTTGCTTTTAAAGAGGCATTTTTTGCTTTGTTACTTGAAATATTTTATTAATATAATCCAAAAAAGAACTATTCCAAAATAATACTAAAATCGTTATGCAATTTTTAGTCATAAATTGACACATTTCGTATTGATACATATTCTTTTTATTACTACCCAGCAAACACAAACATGTAACATATATGTATCATTTACATGTACTAGTTCCGTGTTACATAACAAAGTAACTTACATGTTACATAATAACTCATGTGATTACTGTGAAAAATGACCTAATTTTGTTATATAGCAGGTTCCTTATATTTGATGTAATGGGTTAAGTACATGTAAGGAACAGTGTTATATATCGGAAGACATGTAACATTTATATTACCATTGTAACATCTAATATGCTTCATTATTACAGCACATATACATTACTTTTTTCATATAACATTAGTATTATAAATGTTATATAAATGAAGGTATGTAAATGTAGGTATTAGTTATACAGTGTGTCTACTTAAGTGTCATATCTTTGATTGGTTTCACCACTACTTGCTTACTGTCAATTTTAACAAGACTTTATTTATACCTTTTTGCTCATATGAAAATACCTCACCTACCTACAATAAAATCTCAATTAGAGTCAATAAAAATTTAGTCGACATTAGTTTTGCATCTAATATTAAATATCTGGGGGTATATATAGACAAACACCTAAAATGGGATATACATATTAATTTTTTAATAAAGAAACTCAGAACCTTATTATTTAGGTTTAAATTTTTATCAAAACTATTGAATTTTGAACAATTAAAAATGATCTATTATGGGCTTGCTGAATCACATATTAAATACGGGATCATAGCTTGGGGAGGGGCATTAGAATGCCATATAAACAATCTCAATAATACGCAAAAATATCTCATAAAAATTATATTGAAAAAACCATATACTTACCCAACACAGCAACTATTCGAAGAAAGCAAATTATTTGATGTTAGACAACTGTTTTGTCAGAATCTATTAAGGCAGCATTTCAATAAAGGCGAATTGAAAAAAAATGAATACAATTATAATACCCGTTCAAAAAGTTATACATATGTCTTACCCAAAGTATTGAAATCCAACACTCAACGAAGTTTTTGGTACATAGGTCCTAAACTATATAATAAATTGCCAATTGAGATAAAACAAATTCATTCAAAAAATCTATACAAAAAATTAATAAAAAAATGGGTTTTACAATTTCCACGCCAAACTATACTTGCAATGATTGAAAATTATTATTATTAATGAAATATTATTATTATCATTATTATTATTATTATTATTATTATTATTATTATTGTTATTATTATTATTGTTACTATTATTATTATAATTATTACTTTTATTATAGTCATTATTCTTAATGTGTTATTATTATTATTATTATTATTTAATATTACTGTTCTAAAACAAAAAATTTATACAAAAAAAATTATTAAAAAGTTATACGTAGGGTATTACAGTTGATCCTAATTCGCTCAACTTCAGACAGGTTTTCCTTATAGTTGGTCGTCACAAAGGTTAACTGTTACCAAAATATAATAAAAAAAAAATAACTTTTAATTATTATAAATATATTTTAATATATACTCAAATATTTTAGCCAGCTGTACAGGATCTAGATATCCTTTAGCTTTATTATTTATTTACTAGATAATATTGTAATATTTTAAATTGTATTTACCGTTATTTTGTAAATAAATTATTATTATTATTATTATTATTATTATTATTATTATTATTATTATTATTATTATTATTATTATTATTATTATTATTATTATTATTAAGTTGGAACAATATGGAAAACTCTTGTATTATTGACTTTGTAAAAAAAAGTATTCTTGATAAAAGTTCTGCATGGTCTAAAACTTAAAATGCAACCATCAGATATAATCCGTATACGAGGTTTTTCTAAAAATATGAATTTTACTCAAGAGCAAAATACCTTTATTTTTTACAATACAGAAGAATATTATAAAGTAAAGTTACTTTGAATTAAAAGTTATATTAAAATATGCAATTATAGTCATTAGCATGAAAATTCAGGTTAGGTGATTATTTACGTTTTACATTATAAATTATTTGTAGTTATAAATTAATTAATCACCAAACCTGAATTTTAATGCTAAATGGCTGTTATTGCATATTTAAATATATCTTTTAATTTAAAATAATTTTACTTCTTCTGTATTGTAAAAAATAAAGGTACTTTATTCTTGAGTAAAATTCATATTTTTTGGCAAACGGCTTAAAAAATTGATATCTGATGGTTGCATTTTAAGTTTTGGATCATACATGGCTTTTTATCTAGAATACATTTATTCACATAACCAATAATAAAGTTTCTTTATATGGTTCTTAAGTAGACAGTGTGTATGACAAATACAAAAAAAAAAACGTGAAAATATTTTGAGGAATAAAGAAAAGTAATTTAAACGTATTTGTTAGGTATATCAATAATTTTATTGGACAAATTCATAAGCGAAACCTAAAAAATGTATTATAAAAATATTGCACACAAATATAATAACCTAAATTCATCATAAAAATCACAAAACATCTGCAATTAACGACCATCCACGGCCTCAAAATTCAGCGCCCCATATCAAGCATGACCTGAAAAGAGATCAAAAATTAATATTTACACCTCAAATGTATCATCGAAATACAGTACACACATATAATAACTCAATTTCATTATAAAAACATAATATACCTGCTATTTTCCACAATAAATCCATAAATGCCACAGGTACCACCATAAAACGCCTATAGCCGCCATTGAACGTTGAAACACTACTAAAAATAATGCACCAGATATACCTACCTACCTAAAAACATGCGTATTTCAAGGACCGTTTGGTCAACAGCATTTATTTATATATACGCTATGTAACATTTTGAACGAAATAATTTAGTACAAATTGTTACTTTAATGTAGATTACATATAGATATATAAATTGATATAACCTTTACGTGAAGAAATTTATATAACGGATATGTAATTTTGTAACATATATTTTAATTATATACATGGTATATAACTATGGTGCTAAGTTTGAACTTAGGTGTTCGGTTCCATAAATAACACATAAAAGTGCATACAAGACAGTCTAAGTATATTTTATCCTTCTTAGTTATGTAACAGGAGGGAACATGTAACAGAATGGTTTGCTGGGTAAAGTGACATAATTGTGAATTTTTTTTCTTACTAACAGTAAAACCATTTTTCCTTTCTTAAATTTAATACTTTAATACTTCGTAAATTTTCTCAAAGTTCAAATATACTAAGACAGTTCCAAATATAAAACAGTTTTTGGCAGATTCTACGAAACTAGCATTTTTTAGTTGTGCCACTTTATGATTAAAGGTGCGATATATTGTAGTGTTGCATACCTAATAGGTACCCAGCTAGCACAAAAACATCCCATCTACGTTAATAAGCTGCAATTTTAGGCTCTTTAAGCTCGCATGCAATGTACTGTAAATGTAACCCTTATCTCCCTGCAACTACCGAATGTCCGCAACGGCAAGACTTTTATAGCACATCTCACAGAAGTTACAAAGTGAAGTTCGAAAAACATCACACTAGCACTTTTACGGTACTTACCCCGAAAGTTGCTCTGAAACGTTCTATTGATGTTATAATGTGAATTAGATCTACAGCATTATACAGTGTGTCCACGGATGGGCTTAACTATACTTGTGAAAATATTTATTTTAAATTAAAAAAGTAATTCTTCATAATTTCTTGCTTGTTAAATAAATTCGATTCACATTGAGAAATTATGAAAAATAACTTTTTCTTTAATTTAAAATAAATATTTTTACAAGTATAATTAAGTCCATCCGTGGACACACATTGTGTAATGTAATACAGAGAGGCTGAAATTGAGGCTATAGTAAAATCTCAATCGAGACATGAAAATTTCAAATAAAACAAAATATTTATATAAATTTATTATTAAAATGTTCTTGAAATCAAGTACCAAACGCACAAAAGTAGAGGTAGGTGTAGGCGTGTTCTTTTATTCAGTGCTGTATCCAGCGCTTGCAGCAAACCGTTCGTAAATTAAGTGATGGAAAGACGATTGTATGTGTCAATCATTCTTTTTTCCAGCGGTGAGTTCACCAATGAGCCAAGGCATCCATCGGCTTTAAAAGCCGATGGATATGTGATAGACGAATGGTGAGGATAATCAATCATTTAAGTTAACCTAAAATATAAGAGTTCAAATATAAAACGACTGCAGAATAGATAAATTACATCAATCACTGATGGAACAATTATTGAATAAAAGAACAAACCTTATATCACAAACACAAGTACACATGTGGGATAGAAGAAGCTACCTAGAAAGCACTGAACGATTGGACAAAATTAGCTAAATAGTATAATAAGGTACCAATATTGCAAAGGTTCACTAAAACCTTAAATGGTGAATGATGATAAAGCTAGATTGGTGAAAAATAATAAACAAATACAACAATGACTAGGTACATATTATTATATAAGATTACTAGAGGATAGCTAAGTTCGCTGATTTCTTACCTAAGACGCAGATATATATCTTTTTTAAATCAAGC